ACGGAGGGAGTATCTTTTAATAAAGAAACTCTAAATTTCTAATAGAAAAAAAAACAAATATGCTATCTAAAACATCTCAACATTAAAAAATCAGATTGGATATTGCTTCAAAAAACAATCGAATTGGATATAACTTCAAAAAAAAAAAGTAAAAAATAAAAAATATCGGATTTGATATTATCTTCTTTTAGATATTTGAAAATTTTGACAGCTAATCATCCATATTCAGATCTTTAAGGATATGAAGTAGCTTTAAAAAATGAAATTCTAAATTTTTAATTGGAAAAAACAAATATGATATCCGAAATATCTTAACATTAAAAAACTGGATTGGATATTATTTTATTTTTTTTTTAAAAAAAAAGAATCGAATTGGATATTGCTTAAAAAAGTTCGGATTGGATATTATTGCTTCCAAAAAAAAAAAAAAATCGGATTAGATATTACCACTAAAAATAAAATGGATTGAAAACTGGCTTTTTTTTTTGGATATTTGAAGATTTTGACAACTAATCACCCTTACACGGATCTTTAAGGATATGAGCTATCTTTTAAAAATGAAATTCTAAATTTCTAATTGGAAAAAACAAATATGCTATTTGAAACAATTCAACATTAAAAAATCGGATTAGATATTACTTCAAAAGAAAAAGAAAAAAAATTTGATTGGATATCACCATATTGGCTTTTTTGGATATTTGAAAATTTTAACAATTAATCATCTATAATCGGATCTTTTAGGATATGTTTATAACAAAAATTAGATATTTTGGAGTATCTTTGAAATTAAGATATTTGAAAATTAGAAATAAGCACGTAGTTAGGGGACGGAGGGAGTATCTTTTAATAAAAAAATTAGATATTTTGGATATGCAACACTACAAAAGTTGTAATAGTTCATTATATCCAATTAGAAAACATTTCCAAAATATTCGAAATATGATTTACATTGGACATTCGAAAATTTTCAATTGATTTCTTGATTATAGTAATTAGTCACATAATTTACCGTGTATTTTACTTCGTAATCAACATGTTTTAACTTTTGCCACTATTTCCATACTCCCTCTATTTTTTTGACCGGCACATTGTTTTAGGCAATTCAATTGACCTCAATATGTAAGTGGGGGTAATTGGGGTGTTAAAAAGTACGAAGTACATAGTATAGAATAAGATAGTGGAGGAGTTGGTATTTTATTGAAAAGTTAAGGATGTGAGAGGAGAAGAAATAATAACAAAAGGTGACAGTGGATTTGAGAGGGGACCATAAGCGGAGTGAGAAATAATATTAAAATGTAGTTTTTTTGCCTAAAATGAAAGTGTTACACTTACATAAGAAGCTTTTTGAAAAACACGGGGATTAAGTTTTTTGACTTCATTTTGTAATTTATTCTTATAAAAAAACATAGTCGAGGTCTTGTTTGATTCGTTTCAACGCCAAATTTTCAAATATCAAGTTTTTATAGTTTTTTGTTGTAAATAATTGCTTAATGATCTTATTATTTGAAATTATTCATTGACAAATGCGCCTAAATAAAATGCGTAACTAATATTAAATTGATGAAGTTTGTTTAGTCATACTCGTACTTCGTATGACTAATGAGTTTAGCCTCATACTTAGAAGTCGAGGAAGTATAGCCCACTAACTAGTATGGGCGGCCAATACCCACTACCTGATAGTTAAATGAAATTGGAAAAGATAAATGGGGAAAAGGGTTGGGTAAAAAATTCATGAACTGTGCCTCCTGGAAGTCAGGGGTCTCGGGGAGCTATCCGCTTATTCCATTACTCAAATACTCACTCTATGGCACTATTTGGTGAATAGCAGATAACTGATAGCTTAAGCCGATTGTGTTAGCTGATTCGACTAGCTGATTGTTTTTGATTGGCGGATTGAATTAACTGGTTTTATAAACGTGTTTGGTAAATTGATGTGAGCTAATAGCTTTTTGTGTATGTAGATTTACCAAAAAGGACTTTGACAAATTTTATTGTTGTAAATAAGTAATTGTAATGTAGTTTAGACCTATATACGTACATTAGTTAGTTAGCTCATGACCCCGTGAGAGCCTATACGCAATACATGAGGCGTGTACGAAACATGGGCATATTGACAGTTTAAAGGCAATGTGAGTGGTTCCACACTTCCACCCACCTAAATGGACTACTGAAGTGTATTGGGGTCTGTAGGAAACATCTCGGTAAAATTTTTTCTAGATAATTAAAAAGTCCAAAATTGTCCAAAATTGAAGGCTAGAATCCACGCTTTTGGATCAATTTTGGAGGTTTCGAGGCTCGGTGTTGAAAAATTTCGGGATACTAGGTGATACATCCCGGGGTCATATAATGTCGTTTGGAACAATATATAATCACTATATGTTGTCATAATAGTTCGTGGCGGCCTTGAGTTAATGGAATAAGTGTAAGTTGTAAACGGGTAAATTGACATTTTAAAGGCAAATTGGTTGGTTCTACCCACTCAAATAGACTTCCGGGGTGTATTGGGGTCCATTGAAAGCATTTCAACAATTTTTTATCCGAGTCCAAAAAAGTCTAAAATTGTCCAAAATTGAAAGCTATAATTCACGATTTCGGATCAATATAGAATTTTTTTTCCAAAAATAAACTGAATGAGTGGGGTGACCCCTAAGGCTTATAAATTGATTTGGAACCTTAAGACATATATAAAGATGTCTATAAAGTCCCAAGCATCAGTTTAAGGATATTTTGGTTTTTAACACCCCCAAAAAAAAAACTTTTATTTTAACACCACAAAAAATTTTAAAAATTGGAAGTTACCACCAGTTAACGGTTTCTGTGACGGAAAAATGACGTGGGTCCCACATTTTGGTTTTAACTCCAACTTTCACCCAGCAAAACACGAACCTTCTTTCTCTCTCCTCTCTTTCTCCTTCATTCTTTCTGATCCCTTTCTCCTTCATTCTTTCTGATCCCTTTCTCCTTCATTCTCTTTGATCTCTTTCTCCTTCATTCTCTCTTTCCAACAATGCCGGACAAATTAAACAGCGAAAAACCAGCAATTCGAAGGCCTGGAACTAGCAATTCGAAGGCCAAGAAACACGCAATTCGAGGGTAAAGATCCGGCTGTGTTTGTAGATGAAGATTCGGCAATTTTAGGCTGGAATTCGACGAGTTTCGCCGCTCAAAGTCCGTCGAATTCACACCCAGATCCCGGTGATTTGGGCAGAAATCCGGGAATTAGGGTTAGAGTCATTAAACGCCGGTGATTTGGGCAGAAATCCGGTGAAATTGGGCAGAAATCCGGGAGTTAGGGTTAGGGTCAATAAACGCCGGTGGTTTGGGCAGAAATCCGGTGAAATTTGGGCAGAAATCCGGTGAAATTTGGGTATGATTTTTGGGTATGGGTATGAAAGCTCACTTTAGTTTGTGTAATCAATGCTATAGTGAATGTAAAGTGCCTTCTTCAGTTAAGTAGGAGGAGTTTTCATTCAAGGAGTACCAAAGGGAGGCAGAAGCAGCGAAAGATAAGTTCAAATGTTTCGGTTTCAAGAAGAACTAGCCCTGAAATAATTCTGTAGTTAGTTGCATTTTGTTAATTGTGTATTAGTATTAATTTTTTTTCTTGTAAGGTTAGCTGTTTGGTGTGAATTATCTAGGTTAGATGATGTGTGCAGAATTAATGTTGCCCTTGTACAGTGAATTTTTTCCCCTTGCTTTCAAATGTTAATTCTTTCTGTTCAAGTTTGGATGTGCATCCTTGTTTAATCTGTTTACTGCCTTGGTTCATGCTCCGTCGATTGTTGATGGAGATTTTTCATTTAATCTCTTTTTCGCACTCTAATTTTTTTTATTTTATTCAATTTTTGGGGCATCAATTTGTTGGTTGGTGGTGGTCCTAAAATTGTGTAATAATTGAGAATTGAATGAAGAAGGAGGAAGAATTGTGTAATATTTGAGAATTGAATGAAGGAGGAGGAAGAAATCGTGGGATGCAGAGGTGAAAATTGGAGGAAAAACAAAATTGTGGGACCCACCTCACTTTTCCGTCACACTTTCCGTTAAATGGTGGTAACTTCCAATTTTTAAAATTTTTTGTGGTGTTAAAATAAAAGTTTTTTTTTGGGGGTGTTAAAAACCATTTTCAGACATTTGTATGGTGTTAAAAACCAAAATATCCTCAGTTTAATTTGATTCACTTATGTTACTATTTTAAAATTATGTTGCATTATTATTGGTAAAGAGTTGGTTCCAACAATAATTAACTTGTCATCCCGGGGTCCTATTAAAAAAAGTATGGAATTCTTCATTTTTTATTTATTTATTTATTTATTTTATTTTTTTATTGTTGGTTATTCCCAAATCCATAATGTTGATTTTCAATATTACTATTACACCATATTAAAAAAAATACTCCATGTATAGATGTGAGCTAAACGCTGGATTGAGTAGTGTTTTGAAATTAGCGGATTTGTCTCCGAAAAGCTATTTGAAACCGCGCTTCTTACCAAACACCAACATTAGAGGATTGGCTGGTCTAATCAACTAACTTACTCCAAATCGCTAAGTTTTTCTAAATCCGCTGAGTACCAAACTCAACCATCTCTTTCACGATAAAAGGTAAAAAAAAAAAAAAAAAAAAAAGGGTACTACATATGGATCGGATGCGGCTGAATCCGAATTCGATTTGTTTTGTAAACGGAACCTAGGCTCAGATTCGAATCCGAAAAATCTGAGTCCGAGTCCGATGTGACTCGTAATTTTTGAATCCAAATCCTGTCGTTTATTCGAACCTCCGAATGATCAGAATACTCTATTTTTTTTATTTTTTTTTTGGTAATGTATGATATATCTATAATTGCTTGTATTAACCCTAATAAACTTTATTTCTTACAGTATATCATATTGGTGCGTAAAAAATTAGAAAAAACATAGGGTATAAAGTCTACACATACATATTTAAATTATTACTGGTAATTAAGTTACATAACAAAAAATTGCTACAAACAAGCATATCCTTATACTTGGACTCAGATTGGATCGGACTTTGACAGGGTTCAGGTTCGATCCATCTCCTATTCAGATTCGGATCATATTTTTTTTTTCTTTGGGTCGGACTCGAATCGAACTCGGATTGAATCGCCATACCCAGTCTAAAAGTTTGCAGCTATCTTTCTAACCGTTAGTTCTTCACTAAACAAAGAACAATGTTGTCGTCAGTACAATCCTTCCCGCCAAATCCAATATCAGCTCCCTCAACCTCCAAAATCCACCATAATTCTTGGTATTCAACTACCTTAACTAGATTACCTAACCGAAGAAAATCCTTATTCATAGTGTGTGCTGCAAACCCAGATGATTACAATGCTACCCTCAAAGCTCTCAATTCCAGAAAACGTTTTCCCAGAAAATCTCTTGGTCAGGTAATTTAGCTTCTTTCTTCAACCCTTTTTACATTGGACGAACTGGGTTTTATGGGTAACAAATTATATTTGAAATGGTGGGATTGTAGTTCATGAAACTTCATTGAGGCATTTCGTCGAACACTTACTGATCATTGTGTGTATGTGTTACTTTTTCAGCATTATATGTTGAATTCTACCATCAATGATCAGCTTGCTGCTGTTGCTAATGTAAAAGATGGGGATTTGGTGCTTGAGATCGGTCCCGGTACCGGGTCCTTGACCAATGTTCTTATTAGTGCCGGTGCTACTGTCCTGGCCATTGAAAAGGTTATCAAATTGATCTAAGCATTTCGTTTCATATGCAATTCTGTATAATTTATGAACATTGTTCTATGTGGATTAATAGATGGTTTTCATTTAGTTGATTGCATTTCATTTGAAAACTAGCCTTTTCCTTCATTAATTTATGCCTTCTTTCGTATTGATTGTGCTATATTTTTGGCTCAAGAATGGTTCTTTGTATTTTGACACAGCTGACAATTGCAACAACAGCTATTTTTCTTGGATTTTGACTCCTTGCTTTTGTGATATGCATATGATTTAGGATCCACACATGGCTTCCCTAGTCCAGGAACGATTTGCAGATACAGGCCGCCTAATGGTATATCAGAATCACGAGTTTTACGAAATTTTATATAAAGCTATACCTTGGTCTAGTGTTGTAATATACATGCATATCCATCTTAATATGTCTGTCCTTATCTCAGAGTCCTTGGTTCCCATCTCCCATCCTCATATGCAGGTTATTCAAGAAGACTTCACAAAATGTCATATCCGTTCCCACATGTTATCGTTGTTGGAAAGTAAAAATCTAGCTGTTACAGGGACAAGGCATGCCAAAGTAAGCTCTCTTTCATATGTGCAGATTAGCCTTTCCCTTTGTGTCATTTACCTATGTAGAAGATGTTTGTTTGAAAATCACTGAATACTGCATTTACTGCCTATGAAAACCAATTTTATTGTTTATGAAACACACATGGACATGTGCAGCACTGATGTACTAGTTGTGGGATCCTTGTTTCGCTGATGTATGGGTTACTATTGTGCTTCTTTATGAGGTAGAACAAATTGCTGGTGTTCTTTAAGAATTCAGGAGAGTAATGAATTATTGATTCTTCTCAGCTTTCAAATTGCTCATTCTCTTGGCATGTGGCCTGGTGTTTTTGAGTCTTGAGGTGATGAATGAACCTGGGTATCTTCTGCTGTTTAAACAAGAATAACGATTTCTTTGGAAGTTGTTTCTTGTTATTGGTGTCTGAGATTTTGAATAAAGTTCCGTTCTTATTAATTTTTGTTCACACATTCAAGGATTGTTTAAGCTTTCCTTCTATCCATACAATTGTATCAGTCATGAAATAGTATATGCTATCAAAAAGAGACTGCTTTCTCTTCCAGGTTGTGGCAAACATACCTTTCAACATCAGTAAAGATGTGGTGAAGCAGCTTCTTCCTATGGGTGACATATTTTCAGAAGTTGTTCTATTACTTCAGGTTATTATGTTTTCTTTGTTATTAGCTCTCATTTTTTTGCTATCCGAACTTTCTGAACATCTTAAAGGACCTACGCCTTTTCAGCAGTTTCAACTTTTACATCTTTATGAAGGCTTGTTTATATATTCTAATCATGAAATCTATCCCATGTCCTTTTTCAGGATGAGACAGCAATACGGTTGGTGGAACCATCTTCAAGATCATCAGAATATAGGCCTATAAACATATTTGTGAAATTCTATTCAGGTACAGGGCTCTTATTTCATGTTTGTCATGCATATGTCTGACGGTCACACAAGGTGGATTAAAAATGGCTATCACTGTAGTGAGATCCATCATCTATCTGAACCTAAGCAGATAGAACAAAAACGCTCTTGGTCTTATCATTAGGGACAATAGAAAAGTTGATGTTAAAAGTTAATTAAATGAACGATCACGTGCCATGTAATTGCTGGAGCATGTCTTGTTGATGGCAGTGATTCTTAGTCTGGGCAGCATCTGGTGTAATGAAGGGAGATAAATGAGAATCCTCCCAACATTTGGAAGCCCTTGGACGGTTAATCATTCAATTATAAGCAACTATGCTCAAAATTTGGAATCATGGATATCACATTGTATGTGAATTTTGATTTGTGTGTGATAAGCAACGATTGCTATTCAGTGTGGAATGAGAACGTATTTATTATGCCATGCAAAACTGAACCATTGTCATTTTTTCCTGTCCTAGATCCAGAGTACAAATTTCAAGTTCCAAGGGCAAACTTTTTCCCTCAACCCAAGGTAAGCTTGAACAAATGAATGCTGAGTAACTTTTTATATTCCTTCACTAGGAGAAAATATAGCTTCTTTGTTCCAGGCTTATATTAGAGATTATGTTTTCCTGCAGGTCGACGGTGCTGTTGTTTCCTTCAAACTCAAGCAACCTTCAGACTATCCCGCTGTTCCATCAGTCAAAAGCTTCTTCTCATTGGTTTTTCTTCATCCTTTATGCTCTGAGTTATTTTTACTTGTGAATTTTGACTTTTGGTCTGATAAATTTGCAATTCAATAATTATACCTGCTACTGGGACTCAGATAAATTCTGCATTCAACGGAAAACGCAAGATGTTGAGGAATACACTTCAACATATATGCACACCATCAGAGATTGAAGAAACTTTAAGAACTGTGGGTCTTCCAGCTACAGTAAGTAATACTTGCACAGAATTTTCTTTTGGTCAGCACCTTCTTATTAAATGGAAAATTCATTCTAATGCTTTCTCCAAAATCATGCTTGAGCAGTCAAGACCCGAGGAGCTAACGTTGGATGATTTTGTAAAACTGCACAACTCCCTCGTGAATACCTGACAAGTTCATGCTAGTACAATTATAACAAGCAGTCAAGCATAGCGCGGTAGTTATTGAAATCTTCTGAGAATAGTCAACGTCTGTTGTACAAAGTAGTGATCAGAGTTGTATTCTTCATAGGAAAAACCAAAAACGTTGTGCTGCTACAGGTTGAACACTTGAAATAGAGGGTATAATCTGGTGGTGTAATAATCTGCAATTCCTGATTAAGTTCAAATATAGGAGCTCAGGCATAAAGTGTTGTATAATTTGGTGTATGCCCAATCAATTGTATATTTATTTGTTGATTCCTACATTTTGTAAGCAACAGTAATCAGCAATCAATTAAGTATAGTCTATTCCATGTACTCGAAAGTCAAAACCTTGCAAATATTATTTTACCCTGCGATTTTACAATGTACTACCACGGTCCCAAAATAATAGCTCTGCGGCATTCATGGTATAGTAGCTAGTTTCTTCGAAACGACTCCAAATCAATTGTGGTCTGTTATTTACGTATTGTTAATAACCCTGTAGCATGAATTAGAGAAAATTTCCACACCAAATACTCCTGTACTAATCAAAGTAATTAGCAACTAACAATGGAGGAAGGATCACACTAATACAAAGTCTCCCATGAAAATTGTGATACAAACTCTAATTTACACTTATTTGCTCCAAAAAATGCAAAATTTCGTCCCAAAAGTAAATTAAATTACAATTAAATATAATGCTAAAACTAAACTTAAGTTTAGCCATGAAACTGATAAACAAGGTCCAAATTCCTCAACCGAATAGCAACAGGATCAAAATCACCAGGAACTTCAACTATTTCTCTATCCTCCAAATGCCGTCTTTCTACGGCGGCAATAGACGAAGGCGAAAGCGGTCGCTTTAGCCGCTTATTCTGAATGTAAAGCATGTCTCTTAGTTTCTCTTCCACTCTTTCCATCGATGAATCCTTCGAGTTCTGCTCATCGTCGCCGTCGTAGGCAGCAACCATCGGCTCATCGCCGGCGACGGCGGCGGAGGAGACGGAATTGTCGGCGATACTGTTGCTGTAAACATTGAGGAAGGAGGAGAGAGAAAGTTGAGCGGAGGAGAGAGAAGAGAAGATAAGGCGGTGGTGATCGGGGTCGGAGGTTGCTGGAAGTTGTTTCGCCATTAAAGCAGCTTGTTCGAGAGATTGTATTAGCTCTGTTAGTTGTTGTTGTTGTGATTGCTGTAAATCTGTAACCATGTTGTTGCTGCTGCTGCTGTTCTCCATTTTTGCAGGATTAGTGTTGCAGAAGTTTTGATTGTGTGAGAAAGAAGATGATGGTATTGAAGAAAAATTGTGGTTTTTTCACCTTAATTTGGAGAGTTCTGGAAAGATCTTCGAATGTTTTGTGATTTTGGAGGCTTGGACCATGGGGGATTTGGTGGAGTCATACAGTACTAGGTTACTGCTCTGTTATTCTGTGAGTTGTATAAGTGTAACGGTTTAACTCGTAATATTTTCAATTGTGTATTATGGAGTAATAAACATTACCGGCGAATAAAAAAAAAAAAAAAGGTCAATCATGATATGAATAGTACAAAAGTCAATCTAAATTCACTTGTTTTGAGAGAAGGAAAATTGCGATGTTGCAAATTTTGCACTTGCAAACTTAAGTAAAGACACTTGCTGCAATGCTGCCTAATGTATCTACATCTTAGGGCTAATACGATGAGCAAGTGATGTACGACGGACATTGTTTAATGCACTCTGTATAAGTGTGCAACATATCACTTATGAGTATTTAACAAATGTATGAGTGCAACTATATGACGACATTTTTTTTTAATTTTTTTTTTGAAACCATATGACAACATTTTAATCCTGTGTAAAGAGATAATTTAAAACACCAATATGAAAATTTTAAATGACCAAATGAGAACAACATTTCAACAACGCATAAATGATATGATCATGGTTAAACTGTAGTTCAAATCAACAACTCAACATCTTTACTTGTAGATTACCCAAAAGAGGGAGAAACTGGAATTCAAGTTTCATAATAATCTTGCAACAGTTGCAAGTCTTGCAACCAAGCCCAGATATCTTTTTTATCCAAAAAAAAAAAAAACACACACACACACACACACAAACACACATATTTCTAAGAGAAAGAAATAAAAAACCATTGCATCATAGAAAATGAAAGCAATACCGGGAAGCAATTATTCAAAGTTTGCTGCCAAACTTCCAACAACAGGGAAAAAAAAAACACCAAACTGTCTGACAAGGGCATTTCAGCCAACAGTTTCATCAAGGTTTGACAAACATCCAAGTCATTTTATTGAAAACAATCATTAGGGGAAGAACTGACGGGCTTGAATTTAACCTCCAAGCTTGCTCTCATCCTCTCCATGGCCAGGCGCCGGTGGTGCCACACTCGATGAAGGTAGGTAAGTAAGAGTAGGAGGCCACGGTGGTAGAATGAGCCTCTGAGCTGTGTTTGCTGGAGGCACTGAAGCTTGAGGCAGCTGGGACATGTTAGGCACATGAGGCAAATACGGCACTGAATTCACCAGTGCCAATGGCGGTGTCGGCATTTCGTAAGCTCTAGCTCTGTTCAGTTGATCCTGGCGAGGATTCTGCAGAAAACCTGGGTAACCTTGCTCATGGGCAAATGCCTGGTCAGGATTGGTATAGTTGTTTTGGCCCATCAGTTGACTGCGAGAATTCAGCGCAATAATACACACTGGAGTAGGGGAGACTGTGATACTGTGGTCCAGGAAAGTCTGCCTTACTTGATATTCCTACAACATTGAACCACACACCAACAGCGAGTAAGTTTTCAAGTAAAATTTATTCTGAAAAGCAAAGGCTTGCAAATTTTCAGCCATTTCTACAACATGCATAGAAAATTTGAAACCCATATTACACAGAAACAAACCTGCAGTTTGTCAATCAGAACATCAAGGGTGAGCCCAGGAACGTGCATACGACGAAGAACCTCTAATGGATCAGCATCTGGATTGAAAGTCAAAGTAAAAACATTAAAACATAATCATATAAAAAATTGCATCATTTAAAATTGTTAATTAGATTCTTACCATAAACTCCCAAACCGTGAACAATTCCGAGAAATATATTCTCCATATACGGTGTCCAAGTAAATGAAGACGAGCCTTGAAATTTTCTCTTTGCTACATGGATTTCAGACTCATTAAATGTGACACCAGATATTGGGGATCTACGGGATTGTCTGAAAAGTTCTACTTCCTTTACAAAAGCATGCTGCCACAAGGTTGCAGCAATCCTTGAGTCCAGTGGCTTCACATAACAGAACATTGCTCCATTCCGAACATATTCCGCCTTAGCACATGGTTGATCAGTATCAAAAAGCACTGAAGAAAGTGCAACAATTAAGTGAGAAAAGATTTTGACATACACATTGAAAAGAAGTGAAACTGGCACTTACTGACAACAGCCATCTTATATTTGTTCTGTAGGATGTCTAAAACCTCAAAAGAGCACATATCAGGCAATTTGGTGGGCATCAACACCAAGTCAACCTTCCGTTTCTTCTTCTCTAACGTCTCCAGAGCATCAGCTCCTTGGCAAGCTGTGACGACTAGTGATGCAGCCAAAAAAGGCAACTACTTAGAAAATGCCAATAAAGAGGTGGTGGTAATATATGCAAGATTCTATGGAGGAAAGAATGTCATAATCTCCAAAAATTAATGTACATTCACTTGAATTTAGGAGTCTCAAATCAGGACACATTTTGATCATTTACAGCCCATGTAAAAAACTCCTATTATTTTCTTAAAGTTCGTTCTACATCAGTATTTAAAAATTCCACTAACTATTTCTTATTCCTTATTTTACCATTTTTTTCCTCTTTATATGGTCCAACACCCCACAAAATGAGACCCATTAAACCTTTCCCTTCCAAAAGAACCCAAAAAGGGCATATGAATGGTCATTTTCCTATTTTCCTTGATTATTGGAGTTGTAGTAACCAAGTAGAACTCAAAAAAACGGAGGAAGTAGTAAAAATTACAAAGCAATTTAATTTAAAAAATACATTTCAAGAGGATTTCCAACACACATCTGTATAATCAACATCAACTTATCATTTGACAGTCAGCTTAGGTTCACATTCATGAGAAAAAACAAATGCAAGACTTAGACAAAAAATAAAAAAGCAAGCAAGAGAACTTTTGGCCTTTTGGGTCCTTTAAAATGATACGTAGTATAAAAATTCCAGATGACTAGTGATAGGAAGAACAATACAAGCTCTATATAATTTTAGGCCATATCACTACATGTAAACCCACAATCCTGCTATACCACACAGCAAAGAGTTATGCTGCCAGCTAGGCACTACCAGCAGCTGCATAACGGACATCTCGTCTACCAGGAGTAGTTCACAATTAGAGGAAACTAGAATATTAACTTCAGGCAGATTTCATCCACTATGAGGTGTTTAGTATATAAAAATGAGAGTTTGGAGATTAGATGGGGTGTTATTGAATTAATATTAATAATAATATTTTTTTTTTTTAAAAAAAAAACGAGAGAGATACACATGTTCCATTTCATAAGCATAAATGGGAGTTTGGTATGTTAAAAAGTGGTAACGGGAATAATTAGCAATTGTACATAATCTATAAGTTCACAACCTCTTCTTCCATTTCACCAGTGGCTAAATGGATCCATATTTCCAACTCAATTCCCATCCACCTGATACCTATCCTCCTCCCTCCAATGGTAAGAGAATGGTGGGAATAGCCCCTTCCTATTCCTAAATCTTATCTCACATTTCATTCCCAACACCCCAAACAATTCAATTGGGATCTCAATCCCACCATCAAATAAACATGCCAAACACCCCCTTGTTTCTACAAGTATTAAGCCATAAACCCAGAACATGGTGTAATAAAACTTTTTTTATTTAAATAAATAAATTAATAACACTATCATTGTTCTTTTCAAAATAATACAATATTTCGATGATGTGGATATATTTTTTTTTATAAAAAAAAATAAATTGAATCATAGAATAAAGTATGCTTAATTTACATATATCATCCTTATTAATTGGAAAATATCCTAAACACTACATTTGTTTTTATCAAATTTACTAAACAATTTTGATTTTTTTTTTTTTCCCCCAAAAATACTACCTCCAGTTTTTTAGATGACACATTTAGACTTAAGCACTATTCACACACTTTCCTTTGACCGTATTTTGTGATTTATACGTAATAAAAAAAATAGTCACGTGGGATCTTGTTATTTTCATCATGATATATGTTTTCAAAATACTAACTTTTTAAAAAATTTGCTTATCGGTAATTAAAGATATTAATGGTTGAATTTGTGTATTGGCAAACGAGACTAAAGAAACATATCAACTAAAAAGAAACGGAGGTAGTATAATTTATTATCCATTCCGTACTAGACTTTACGTTTGTCTTTTATGGTCAACTTTTCAAATATTTGACTATAAAAACACAATATTATAAACATAAAAAACAAATCACGCGAAATCATGTTAGATTCGTTTTAATATATTATTCAAAATATCTTTTAAAGAATTTTTACTCAAATTTAGTTAAATATATATATGGTCAAAGATGTGTATTGGTGACCGTAAAACTCAAAACGTAAAGAATAAAAAGCAATAGAGCAAGTATCTATCTATTTCCTAAACTCAAAATTGTGACATGACAACCCATATGACACTCTCAATGCTCTTAAAAACACCACAATCCATAATGAGAGCTAAGAACCAATTTGGATTGTTAAATCTCCATGATCGGACGATCAAGATGCCACCCATAACATTATTAAAACAATCCAAATTGATAGTTCTCTTTACTTTTGACACGATCGATTTACTTTTGAATCGATTTGATTTTCTCATACTTTAAATCAAATAAACAGCAACTTGTAAAGCAAAATTAAAACAAAGGGATAAAAAAAAAAAAAAAACAACACAAAGATTTTTTCTGAAAATAAATTCATTAACTTATGGATTGATTTATAATTTTTAAACGCTAATGTCAAATGTGACAAATCATCAGGATATACACAGAGGTATTCATGAGAATAATCTTATCAGCATCAAGAAACAAATACTAATATATAAGTGCATGCGAAAACAATAGATTAATTTGCATGATTCAGTACAAACCTCTGTAATTTGAATTAACCAGGAGGGCCAATGTATTTTGTGAGGACCTAGGGTCAGGATCCACGAGCAAGATGCAAATATTTGGGTAGCGTTCAGTATCCATGCTGCAAAAAAACACTATGAGACAGGAGAGGATGCAGACATATAGAGGCAGAGGAAAGGAAATGTGATGTTTATATTGAGAGATGAGGAACTGAATAGGCTTTACATAGATGAATAGACCTTATAAATGTAGGGTTAGGAGCCTTAAAAATGACTTTAGTGTGCTATAATATCTTTGGTATAAGTAACGTTCCCAATTGAAACGATAGGAAGCTTCTAGGCTGTAAAAAATAAAAAAGCCATATTGATTGAAGAAATCTACCATATAAGTCAAAGAAGGATTAATTTCCAAAAACAATACAAACCACACCAGATTTTCAGTTCCGTTACACCTAAACAAAAACAATACGACAAACGGCGTTTAAATAAGGCAGAAACAGACTTGTCCTAGTTCCGAAGAAAAACGTGACAAAAAGTAGGAAGGTAAAATTTGATTTGACAAGCCGTTACACATGACAAGTACCATTCCTTGGACAAAGTATCATTTACCGAAAGACGTACTCATGTATTATAGTCTCGGTTAAAGAGCTCAAATTTTGACCACGAATTCTCAACAATATGCAAGGAAAAACAGTCATGTGGGGGTCTTGCTAAAATCATCTCGATATGTAGTTTTCAAAAGTAACTTATAAATTTTGTAATATGGAATTTAAGAAATAGACAATTAAAGAAGCGCATTAAAAAGTGTGGAAAAACCAATGGTATAGCAAAAGAATTAAGGGAGTACATAAATTAGTAAAAAGTTATCTACTTGTAAGAAGGCTATTCTGTTCCAAGGTCCTTAATTGTATTTAAACAACATTTTTTTGGGGGTAGAAGCCCCTCCGTTTCTCTTGGTTAATGCTTAAAAGTTAACAAGCTAAGTCTAGGATTTTTCAGTCCAAACCCGTCAGCCACCCTCTTCCACATATATTGTGGAAGAGAAACATCCCTAAAGTGTAAATTTTCGTCTTTCTTCTTTTCAATTTGTCATTTCTAGGGCAGAGGTGAAAGATACCAGGTCGCCTCTACAGAGTTCGGGACATTCAAAATCACAAATTGATATGAGGAACCTGATACATGGTGCACAACACATGGTATAGGAGATAAGAGAGTAGGGACTTGCCCTGTTTCATGTTCAAAATAGAATGGAGTAGAAGAACGACACAACCAAGAAGCTCATGCTGTAAAGTAAGGATAGATTATGGAACGTGAAGCTCTCATTGTTACCTTGTTAACTAAGGACCACATGCACAGCACAAGCCCATAATCAATGAAAACTATCAACTTTCCACAATTGATTAATGCCATTAATTCACAAAAATAACTATTATGACAAGAGATTTACCTTCCTTGGAGGGACAGATTGTGAAACATGATACTCTCGTTGATAATATTACCCTGGATAGTTTAACAAGGTTATAATTTAAGTATCAAGTACAATGATCATTAATCTAATCACTGTACTTGTATATCCAAATAATTTGTTTTGAAATTAAAAACACTAATCATCAGCTATAAACAAGTTACCAACAACCACATTCAACAGTGACATCGAAATGTGAGATTTACAGTTTTGCGTTTCTTTAGACTGTTAAATAAATAGTTAGATGCTCAAATGCAATGCTGACATCAGTACTTTCAATTCAAGTTCAGACACATGTTTTTTTTCCCCTTCATATTTGGGGGGCATGGGATACAGAAGGAAAATTTGAAAATTAGTAACATCAACAGACTGCATCACTGCTCTAGGTGGCTGCAAACAACAACAAAGCCTTAGTCCCAATATGATTTGGGGTCGGCTAACATGAATCGTCATAAGGAACCCTCTAATATGGACATAACAAGATATATAGCAATAACTCAAAATCAGAGGATCATGTAAGAGGATCGATGACATATATGCATAAGTGTAGTCCACCAAAATTCATTATGCATCTTGAAATATAATTTCCCTATTAATTGCAGGGGAGTCACGAAAGATTTCCCTACTTATGATTGGACTACACCAAGGGTTGGCATTGAGTTCTCTCTCTTTGCAACAATATTGGATGAATTAACAAGATCTATCTAAGGTGAGATACCTTGGGTGTATGCTGTTTGAAGATAATTGTATTGGTAAATGAAACTAAAGTTGGGGGTTATTGCCAACTTGGAACAAGAGTTTAGACTAAGTTGGAGCAAGAATGGGTACATAGAATGTAGTTTTAGCAATGTGAGGAGCTCAAGTGGGAATAAAGTAACATTGGATGGTCAGGAGGTGCCAATGAGCAAGTGTTTTAAAATCCTTGGCTCAATTTTGCAGGAGAATGAATAAATTGATTAAAAACCCACAATATTAAAAACAGTTGGCCAAAATGGAGGGTATTGTGACTGTAGCATACATTTTATCGAACGGCTATCAAAGCAGCGTTGTTATTTGGGTCAGGCAATCAGGAAGGATCGTATAAGAAAGACGCGAGTGGCAGAAATGCGTGTACTGAGGATAATGAGGTAACTTATGATGGCAGACACTGAGGATAATATGAGAGAGAACAGATTGCGTTGGTTTGGGCATGTTGAATAAGGAAAGGAAAGGGACGGGATCAGGGGTATCTCAGAAGAAGCAGGATAAGGCCAAAGATGACTTAGTTGGAAGGAGTAAAGGGCATAAAGAAGTAGGAGCATATACCACTGGACAGAAGGAAATAAAAGGAGAGAATCATGGTTAGTGAGTACTGGTGATAAAATCTTGGTTCATATAGTCAACCCCATCCTTGGGATTACGGCTTTGATTGTTGTTGATTTATGTCAATAAAGATATGATCAAGCACAAGAAATTTTCTTCTAAATTATAACACAATCATTCCATAAATACATAAAATAAAATACAATAAAATGATAAACAATGAGACAAGTCACAAGTGAAGAAGACAAGGAACTCTGGCCGGACATTAGTCCTGCAATTTGCAAACTAGTAAAGTCACGACCATCCTAATAGAACTTGGACACTTGACGAGTGATATGCATGCAGAATCTAACAATAAACTTATGAACAATTATCTTTATAACTCACTTCCACGACCAAAATGCAGAAAATCAAAGTAAAATTACGAAAAGAAATTAGATCCTCAAATTACCTGAAATTGCAAGGGGACTGAGAGAGAAAGTGATATAGAGTATTCAGTCACCAACCGAAAGACAGAGGAAACCCGAAACCCCCAAAAACGGCAGCTTCGAAACCCTAGGAGGGGAGCTTGATGACAAAACCCCCAATTCTTCAGTACCTCATTCCATATCCAAAAATTCAGGAGCATTAATTTGCAGAATGAGTATAATTAAGCTTCAAACTATAAATCTGATCCAATCCCAAGATAATGCTCACCACTTATTATCAAGTATCATGCATTCTAAAGCCTAAGTAAAAAAATAAAAACTACTTCGTATAATCCATTTATAGAACAGTATTTTAAAAAATCCTCATACACCTCAATTTGTCCATAGCATTTATCTTCTTCTTCTGACACTTGGGCTGAATTGCTATTCATAATAACAACTTGATCTCCTGTCACCCTAAATTGATAATACTTCGTATTATATTTTATAATGAAAAAGAGAAAAGAAATTAGAGAGAAAATAAGAGGATGAGAACATTGCAATTTCATTGTTTCAGAGAGGAAAACAAAGATAAGGAATAATAGAATGAAAAGGAGGGGATGGAAAAGGATTATAGAGAAGGCAGAATAAGCTTCAAAAGAAAATTAAGAGGGAGGAAAAGCTAGAAAAGCAGGTAAAGCATAGGGGCAATATGGTAAATTTACTTTACTCCTAAGTGCAGAATCATCATTACATTGTTCATAAGGAACAGAAGGCAAGTTAACATTTTAAAGGTTTATTACTAGTTTTTAGTCCGTGTGCTAACGCGAGCGGCCCCCCAAGTTATCAAAACGTTTGGAGGAAAAGGGTAATAGCGGCAATTTGATAAGCACTATATTGTTAGATAGGTAGCATATAATATGTAGTTCGGTCTTTTCCCCTTAGCAATATATATCAAGAGGCCATTATAAAATATTACATACATTGGGGAATATAAATATATAACGGATATAGCAGATTGATAGTAAACAAAAAAAACTCAGTGTTGGACAATCTGTTTGTTGAGCAATATGCATTGGAAAATGCGTGCAAATTCTTCTGTTAGGATTAAATGATTGAGTCAATAAGATCAACAAGCAAAACAGAACACTTTGTTGGACAGTTGTAAGGTTGAAAATTTGAATTGGCTCCAAGTTCTAAGCCAAAAGTCTAACAAGTTCAGTCCGTGTAAAATCATAGCAAAAACTCAATTGAAGTCTGTTACACCTATTTATCCCCTTTTTCCTTTAATAATAGTCTTACTAAAAAATTTGAGCATCTATTTTTTAGATGCTCAAAACCATTACAAGTACTGAGGTTTTAGAGCAATACTCTCTACTTCAATATTGGGAGGCAAGACCAGACAGATTTTTTATGTTCCAACAGACAAAGATAACAGTTATAAAATACAGCTCAAACATAGAGTGTTCCTATAGTTTCTGAACTTAGTCAATGCCACAACAAGAGCTGAAAATTTCGAGGCTTTTGGATCTCTAACCTGGATATCTTTATCCTTTTAAGTTTGTACTGTTTTTGGTGTATTTGATGCTATAACAATTTTGAACCTGAGAAAGGAAATAACTTTAACTTTATAGTCAACTATAAATACAGCTATTGGAAATAACACTGTTTAAGAGGAAAAAAAAAACATCTCATCTAAAGATATCACATGTTGACTTAATTGTTCAGAACTGAAAAGTTATATCATCAGTCTTCAGATTGTTCAAATGAATATAAATTAGATCTTCCTTGATGAGTGTCACATACAAGAAAAATGATTACTTCTAATCTCAAAAACTGATTACAGACAATAAATGACAAACCTGATCGCCAGTACAACAATCAGAGAGAGAGAGGGAAAAAAAAAAAAAAAAAGTGAAAAAGCAAGTATGATAGCAAAAATGACAAACCTGATCAAGTGCAGAGGCAAAGAGGTCCAACACATGACCGTGTCTAGCATTTTGTTTTCCTTAATTATCATAAAATTAACTGCTGTTTGAAAAAAAAAAATGTGCAACATCTTTACCAAGATCCTTGTGGGAACAAATAGGCTCTAACAAATAATTGGATACAATCTGCAAAAGGAACAGAAAAGGTAAAATAAGAAAGCGACATATTTCGGATAACACATACATATTATTATACACCCCATTATGCAAGATGCAGTGTGTGTGTGTGTATAAAGCGGCTTAGGCAGAACTCTATACTGTATAATTTCTATAGTACCAGTTGTTTTGCCGCCTCCACTTAATGACCTAAATTTTAATTCTTGATAACTATAGAAAGAGTTTCTTTAGATGTGGTAGCTGTGGACAGATTCAAGATCAGTGGTGGAACTTGGTAAGGTGGGAAGCGACTACCTGGTGTTCCCCCATACACATGACACAAATACATCATTTAAACACCAACATGGCTCAGCTCAGTTTGATTTTACTTCCTAAGCTCCAGTTTGTGCTTAATTTTGATTCAACTACATCATTCAGTTCAAAAACAACTCGGCTGCTATATTTGGAGTTTGAGATTTGCTGAATAAAAAATTCATGGTTCTTTGTTTTTTTGTTGATAGAACTTATACTCCTATCATCAAATCATTTTCTTTTCTCATATCCCCAAATAATATACTATAATAGCAACGCCAAAATGAAATCCCTCAGCATAAACAACATAACCGCCTCCACAAAACAACTCAACTGATCACTAATCAACAGATTTACAACTCCAATGAATTAATTTCTTCCATATATATGTATGAAGTGTTCACAGAAAAGATTTGATGCATTAAAAAACCAATTAACTTCTCTCCCTACCCCTCGCTTTCGGTATTTTGTTGTGTACAAAGAAACTCAAAAGTCTAAAGACAAATGGCAATCAGTACATTGCCTAAATGTCATACCTAGAAATAGCTACAAGGTTATTGTTAGCAATAGAGGAAACAAATTGTAACATAGACTGAAGAATCCTAATAATGCCTAAATTACACAATTAGGTGGGAGTTCAACATCTAACTTGGAAAATACTGTTGCTACTTCGACCCTAACATGCTTAATCATGAGGTAAAGAATAAAGATAGAGATTACAAAGCTCTAGATTAGGGATAAAATAAGACTGTGATTTCCAACCTAAAAACATCACCAAAATGCAATCATATTAATCACCAAAATGATCATTTTAACTAGAATTATAAGAGTAAAATATTCAATAAACCAAAATGCACAAATCAATAAAAATTCAGGCCAAAAAACCAACACTTCCGAGTCATACATGTGATAAACTAATCAAAATTCAACACATTGCTAAGAAAATGCAACTAAATCAACAAAATTAGCACCCAGAACAACTCATCAAACTAAATTGGAAAAATTGACCAAAATATGATCATTATGAAACAAACCTTATCATCGATTCAAACAAAACAACTCATAACTTATTTATAAAATTCAGTAATTTAAATATTCGTACTATAGCACCTTTAGATCAACCCTGACATTAAATTCTTCTCGCTCAAAATCTCAGTAAAATCAGTCATACAACATTTTCAAAACTTCATTAATTATAACCGTTGGTTTGATATTCAATCTGAAGAATCCTAAACCAAACTGACAAGTAAATTAACGACGAGCCCTAGATTGTGAAAATGATAGTCGATGAAATTAATAAAGACAGCTTACCTCAGACACCACTTCAATGGAGGAGATAAAGTTCAGAAGCCGCTTCAACTCCAAAAACAACTACGCAGTAAAAATACTCATATCTCTGCCATTTCCAATTTGATTTTCAATAGTGTGACCTTCAAAAAAATAAAAAATAAAAATAAAATATAATAAAATAAAAAAAAACAACAACAAAAAGCAAAAAGCCAACTCAATTAAAGGGGAAAAAAACCTTACAAACATCCGTAAAACCTAGTACATACTAATCACAGCGACAAATCAATTAAAAAAAAAATAAATAAATAAAAACTAATCAGAAAATTAAATAATTATTCAATGACCTTGAGAACTTTTAGCTTCATACTTTCGTGTTCCAATCCAGCGATGAAGGCTGATGTATGAGCAATGGAAATCCAAATTAATTTTTGAGCAGAATTGAAAAAATGATTTCAAAAGTAGCAGCGGTATAATAAACAAGAATGCGGTGCAAGAAGCGGCAGCCGTAGGACATCAGAGTGAAGTGATTGAAAATTAAATCAAATTAAATGAATAAAAAAAAAAAAAAAAAATTCATATAAATCTTACCATAGTATGAAAATTAACAATTCAGACGGACCCAAAATAAATAAACCATCGACAGAAAAGCGTTGCATCCTTACCAAGCCTAGCAGAAGACGAAGCATTTGTTGATTGCCCACCTCCTGCCATTTTTGCTGCTTAAAAGAAAGAAACTCCTAGAGAGAGAATGATTACATGGAGACATTGTGGGAGGAGTTGATCCGGAGGACCGTGGAGAGAGGAAAAGAGTACATTACATAGACTCTCAATTTCTCAAAAGCAATGGAAGGGAGAAAAACCAGGGGAAAAAATTATTTAATAAATTGAGCAAAATCGTAATTACACTGCTCATAAGTGAACAGTAGCAAACTTCTCATATTTTAAAGGGTATAGATTTAGGATAAGCACTCAACTTCTTTGTGCTGACAGAACTTCCTTGAGACCACCTATATTAAAAATGAGTGATCAACAAGATAGCATCAGTTCAGAAACACCAGGGAAATTATACACAATGACACAACAGTAATGGACCTCCTGTACTGGCCACTGATGCTACAAGGCTTTCACCAGAGAAATTCACAGTCAGAAATCCAAACATCCAATAAGCAGCAAAGCCATGCAAATCCTTGAATATAGGACCAACACAACCTCAAGGGTCATAAGGACATCAATCTTACTTCTTCATACTAAATACTGATACTAATTAAAACATGTATACAACCATACTCAAATGTCACTGATTTCCTTACTCCATCATATAATAAAGATGTTTTCAGAGATGTTAGTTATAGCAATGGCATTAAAAACTGAAAAGTAATGCAAACAAACTAAAAAGATGATATATCTCAAAACCGAGGAAATACTGCGTTAGTATCCAATCTAAAAGATACTTGTATTGCATTGATGTTTCATATTGTCTAAATTATTTAAGTGGACACTTACTTTAGTATGAAGAAGAACACTAAAAGAGACACCTGTTAAACAAGGTTTATCTCCAAAGAAGAATATTCTTGTATCCATGTAGACCTTGGTGGTGCGCAACTACTACACTCCTCTATCATTACCTCCCTCTCCCCCCCCCCCCCCACATGGTCTTCTTTTTTCCTTTGCTGTCACTCTAATAAGCACAATTAAGCCACATATTAGACAATACAACACATTCGAACTCTCCTTCCATCTTATCCTGCTCTTGCCAATCAGTCGCTTGCTTGTGTCAGCATTGCCTCACATCAGAAATAGTTAAACATGCAATAAGATTAAGAGAACCCAAATCCATTAAATTTATACACGTGTTAGTGAGATCAGAAACTAGCTTCCATCAGACCAGCTCACTACCTAATCGCACAAGCAGATTAAACATGCTTAAATATAACCTACATGGCACACGATACCAAGGACTTACAAAAGATAAGATGTACAAGTTAATATAGACAACAGATTTTCAGGGAAGGGATTTAGCTGAACAAAAGCCGACGTCTCACAGATTTAGAAAGGCTTGGACTTGAAGCCTTCTTCTTTTCTTTCAAATATCCAGTTCCTTCACTTTGAGCCAAATTTTGGTTGTCTTTAGCCTGATTTAGTGGTTTGCTTGAACGATAATAGTCAGTAATTGCTAGCTGAACACCGCCTGAATGTGAAGACGGTGACTCTATGCATGTTCCCCTAGATCTGGACACTTTTCTCTTGGACTCTTTCACTTCCTGCCAAGTGACAAATAGATGAGATTGATATTGTCAGAAGAGAAACTCGAAATTCCCAAAACTTTAACCCAACATCCCAAAACTTTAGACAATAAGCAACCAAAGTATGATGAATGCACAAAGACAAGTGCTAACATTATAAAAGTATTAAACAAATCTATCAATCACTATCACCTGAAAGATAACTAATAAAGAAGATACAGATCAGATGAGACTCATGAAAGCTATACCTTCTGCTGCAAAAAGTTGTCAACTTCTGCAGGAAAAGCAGCTTGGACTAGCTCTAAATTTTCATCTGTTAGTATAAAGCTGCTTTCACCATCAACGTGAATTTGAGGCACACGCAACTCATCCAAGCCATTGCAAGTTCCATCCATTTGAGTCTCTTCAGATTCAGAAGCGGATATTATAGAATATCCTTCAGAAGGTACTGAATGGTTGGCATCGCTCATCGATGATCCAAATCTCCTCCACATGACCACATAATATTGATGACCATACCTAATTTTTAGACGTTGAATAGAGTCAAACTTATATTGTTCAAGCAATAAAAGTTCACAAGGATGCAAAGCCATATCTCTCAGAAAAATGGTGGAGAGCATGGGGAATATCTGCTGCCGAATGTATGATGGCTCCCAATGCAAATGATAAGCCAAAAAATCAATTAACATTTCAATATCTGGTTCATTCCACAATAGATCTGCACTGTATTCGGCAATATCTGCAAGCAAAGATGGTGGATACTAGATGATTACCAACAGTAGGACAGGACAGCAAGCAATGTGACTGATCCAAAAATGTCATGAGTAACTTCAAAAAACAGCATTTTACTAGACAGCAAATATTACTGATAATGCTGAGTTAAAAACAACATTTGACTATGTAGCAAATATTGCTGATGATGCTGAGTAGCAGTCCAGAAAGAAGCAGGATTTAAAAATAAATAAATAAAAGCAGATCTTGCACATAGCATTTACAAAAACATGCTAAGTTGAATCACAATTAAAGTTACCCTTTGTGAAGTCAACCATTTATGTGATTTGGGGTAACTATCCTGTTGTATATTTATCAATTGTACATAAGTTTTTTCCAATAGCATACCCTACAATAGAAAGACAAAGCTCCAAAACAATAAGTTATAGTAGACGCAATTTAGCATCTCTAACCTTTCCTTTTCACTGGATATCTTTGATGAAAAAGACACTATCCTCACAACAAGATAAAAAGGTCTACAGCAATCATATACACACTTCTAAATAGAGTTAAAAGAATTTAAATAAATGATATAAGTGCCACCTTCACTTCTCAGATATATTTCAATAATCTCTTTGCAAGGAAAATTGCACTCCATGGCTATCTTCTTACAAACTCTAAAGTGAAAATTTTCATTCTTCTTAAGTTCCTTTTCCTTCCGTTCCTGTAAAGCAAAAGGCAGGCAAAGCATAAGTAGTTCGTCAACTGACAATCTGAATGCAAATGTCAATTAACTCTTGTAGCTATCTGGAAGCCTCTAACCATGCAAGAGTGAAAACTAAAAACAACTAGGTGGACAGAATCAAGAACATGTACAGTGCAAAAAACGTCGAAGCTTTCTGGTGTGCAACTTAGCAGAACCACAACTGCTGCTCTTAGTGAGACCTCAAACGTAGGAAACATAAGAAGTGAACATATCTTTTTTACTTAATCCAAACTCCAAATTTGTTTTGGAGAGCTTTTGTCACCTTCAGGCAACATCTAGGAGAAGAGGGGAAATGGAAAATAAAATTATGAAAACAGACTAAAACATATAAACAACTTAAGACGAAGGAATCATTATCAAGCTGCCTATAAGAGACGATGCACGTTGTAATGTATAGCAGCATATAATATGAACTCAACACTAGCGTACATCACAAACTTTCACAGGTTATGCATAAATAATGACCATGGATAACAAAATGGGTACAAAGATTGGTCATTCACAACATTAGTTGATTTGTATAACTCCAAGCCAACTATGCCCCTTCTGAAACCTTGTAACTCTAGTTTATAGACTAAAGTGTAAAGTTTGGAAAGCTCCTCCCTCTTCCAAATTTAAAAATAAACTTTGACACTTCCCTTTGCTCAAACGAGAGCTCGCCTTGGATTTTGTTACTAGTAATCATTTTGGATCACTTAGAACTTGGAGGCACCAAATTAACTGATCCAACTTAAGCTTTGCACTCCAAGAAGCCATCAAAAGTTAGTATGTAACTAGTGTAAAAGCAAGTTTTGTAATTTTAAGGAAGCAGTGTATATACTTCGTATGTTTGTATTATATTTTGCTTACCGCAACTTCTTTAGAGAGATAAATAGATAAATATACGAACGGAACTTCGACAAGCTATGCTTGGCACGTGGAAAATTAATAAACAATTTTTTTATTTGGGGGGGGGGGCGCAAGATGAGTGAAGATTGTTACCCTGTCACAACTAGAGCATACACATTTGAACTTAGGAGGCTTTTTACTACAATTCACTCCTGTGATGCTATGACAATACTCACAAGGCACTTGGCTATGGAGAGATTTGTTGCCTGGATGACCACAAAAAGAGCAATGAGGGGCTTTAGATTTCTGCAACAACATATCCGAATTTCTTGTACACTTGCCAGGAGAACCAAAATTGGCATTAGATGGAAACATGTGCCCAGAACCTATTTCGCTTAACCTGTAACAGTAGTTCAACTAATTAAAAGCCATGTCCAAATATATATTGTCCTCGCTTAAGAATGACTGAAGAAACCAACGATTTCAAATGTTTAGTGGCAAACCTTTGTAAAACTTCGTCTTCATTATACTTTTTTACAAAACGAAGAGCTGTTTCCATCCCGATTCCTTGCACTCCATTTATATTATGATCACTTCCAACCAGAAGAGAAACAGCTATTAAGTGTTTTCTTCCCAGGCCAAGACCAACTTCGATGTCTTCCACATAATAGCATTCAAATGGTCTCTGAACAAAAGGGAAATCAAAACCGATAAAACTTGGAATTGGTCAGTGTAAGCAACACGATTACATATTAAGTCAAGGAGGGAGAAAAAAATGAGCCAGAAGATAAAAGAGTGAGACAGAAAACAAAAAAATAAGAAATTATGAAACATAAACTGGACTGTAGCAATAGAACAGATCCAAAGAATAATAAGGGCTCACATCCATGTTCAGCAGTTCCAATGATCATTAGGGTATAAATAAGACCATTTGCAAGAGAGTGAAGAAAAAAGGAGCCCATAAAGAGTATATGAGACATTGAACAAGATAAGGAGTTACCGTGGATTTAGGATCCACGTGTTTTATCACACACTTAGCGCCAAAAAGTAAAGCATCACTGTCAGATGTAATGCAAGCATCTACAGCACCTTCACTGTTCAATTGAGCACAAAGTGCTTCAGCTTCACCTCTAGCTCTAAAAAAAGGCATACCAAGATACTTGAGAAGATCCTGCAAAAGCATACACCAACTTATGAAAAGAGAACTCGTAATTCAAAACAAATCATTGAGATTAGACTAGATGAAATCTACAGCCAACAGTGATTGGGATAGTACTAGATGAAATCTGCAACAGAAATAGTAAAAAATTTAACTTTATTCTAATGAGATAATGACAATCAAAGCTGATAAGCCCTGAGACGACATAATCCTGCCAAATTGTTTAACCATAATATGATAGATAGAGGCCATTTCAAGCCTTATTTAATATCAACAAATTAATACCCCAGTGCATCTCACGCCTCTCATAAGACTCCTTCCAGGTAAAGTATGGCTGTATGGAACAGTCACGTCGTAAGCACAAAGCAGCCTTTCTCTGTAGTTACAACCTTAGAGGTTATCTTCTTCATACCCTTGATCCAGAAGGCATTTTGGTTGCTACTAAACAGCAAATAAGAACCAAATTCTAGTTCAATGATACAACTAATCCAGTCCATTGTAATCACAAAATCAAAATTAGGAAGTTGTGCCGGCAATGACTCTAAACTTTGCAGGAAATGATAGATTGCACCCTAATTGCTCCTAAAGGGAAACAATACAACTCACACACACACAAGTATGGAAATAGAATAATCATCATAAAAACAATTCCAATGCTTGCAATTTAGGTCACTAATATAAGCAACTTGCTGCAGGCCTGCAGCCACTATTAGGTCTATTACCGACGCAGAACAGCGTCCTACATTTGTGGAGAAGTTCACACTTACTCACGTACTATTTCAAATTGCCAAGCTAAAAAATTAAAAAATAAATGCTTTATGAACAATAACTGTGAAGGATCTTACTCACCACACACTCCTCCACACATTTAACAAAAAACTTGTTCCGATCAACCGAAATACCCTCTTCCACAACAGGCATATCCTTGGGATCAATGCCAGAGGATCGGAAATACCGTGCTATCCTTGCTTTAGACTTCAAGTGTGATGGCTTCCCATCCACAACAAATACAGGATATGCTCCAAACTGCAAACATTCAGCAACACTATAATTAATAACCACGACCTTCACTAATTATGGTTGTGTTCTACTCACCCGGTATTCACACATCTAAACCAAATTGAACTAATGACCTTATTTTAGTAGTAAAATCAAATTCGGGTTGCCCTAATTACTAATTACCTGAACTTATTTTTCATGAACTTTTATAATTTGAAACTTATCTAAACTTATTAACCCTTGTATAAACTCAATATATTAAATAGGTGAAAATAAGCTGAACAGAACAAGACCTAAAAATTCCTGCATTTTAAAATCACCCTCATAGTTTCTTGCAAAAAATAACAAATATCAATATAAAACTGATGAATTGAAAGAACAACAAAAACCCCAAATGTAATTTCTTCTCCTAGCATAATTCTGTACAAAGAACACCATTTGGGTATTCAAATCATTCAACATTACTATGATCATTCTCTATTCAACTCAAAAATTGGGAAAATTGTCTAAACCCAGATAATAAAATCAAAATTAAGGAAAATTACCTTAGAAAAAAGGTTAATTGTACGGAGGAAAGTGAGGCGTAGATGAGGATTTCGAACACGGGAAGATTTAAGGGCAGTTTCATGTTGAACAATCCATAAAGAAAGATCAACAGCAACTTTCTTGTTCCTTATAAAATCAAAACCCTCATATCGAGCGTAGGGTTTTAGGGCATCCCAGAAATTTCCTCCAACACCCATCAATTTTTAAACCCAGAAATTTTGAATTTTGATTATTTATACAGTGGAATTTTGAGTGAGGGTAACTGAGTTTTGGATAAAGGTAGAATCTTTCATAGGAATTTTTTCAGTCTGTGTTTTTCGTGGAACCAAATTACAATTCCAAACGAAGTTGTCGGACAGGGGTAACAATTTTTTTTTTTCTTTTTTCGTTTTTTTTTTTAACGATGGAGCAATTTTCTAGATTGTGTTAAAAGAATTTAATTTTCCTCAAATAAGTTAATTCTACAAATGTTTCCTTACATGTTTTCGGTTTATTATGCGAATGAATTACTCTACAATACTTTTATGAACCATTGATTTAATTGATGGTAGTTGCTAAGTCAGGAAGAAAAGTAAAATAATAAGACACTTGTTAACGTGAATGATTGATATTGAGTAGAATTAAACATTTCTTTCCTAGTTACATATGTGAGGGCGCTGCCCTCTCTTGCATAAAAATAAAAAATATATATAAAACAATTACTTATGTTGATTGTTGATTATTTGTGGAGTATAATGTGAGTGACGAAGTGTATAAGGTTAGAAGTATTATCAAGTAATCCCATAAAACAAGAGTGTCTAATCAAAATTTTAAGTTAAAGATTAGCTTATTGACTTAGTATCTTTTTGAGACATAGGAAGAATTTGTTTTGTGGAAATGGGGATTTTAGGAATAGATTGGGAAAAAAGTGGAAACGGATATTCATAAATTAAGACAATGCATTGTAAATGGTAATGTGTAATGGATAAATAATGAGTTTACAAAAAATATAGTTACTAAAATTTCTCCTCTTCTTCTTCTTTTTCATTTTTTTTTTTTTTTTTTAAAGACTAAAATTTCTCTTTCTACCTATACATCAACGGTACTTTAGTCATTTCCCAACTCCTCCCATACTTTCATTCCCCACGTCTTTGCTAAATCCATTCTACCTAAATGACATGTTGTTATAAGATGATATGTGGAAAGCCGGTTTCACATGAAATGAAACCAACTAACATAGCACAAAGTAGGTTTCTTCCTAATACCAATTGACATAAAATAGAGTAGCTCACTTGGGTAATAATTATAAAGTGTATTTTTTTTACTTTATCTTTCGATGTAGTACACATAATACTCACACTTCTACTTAACAATCCTCAATTAAGTGTGATTACAATATTACATACGCTCTCCCTTGGTTAATAAGTACAAATAAATAACACACTAAAATTGTTAAAATATGTGCGGGGTCAATAAGTTTCGAACAACTATCACAATTTTCTATCTCTGTGCCTACTTTGACTTTTTTCGTTTTATGTGTTTGGGAGATATGGTACAAAATCCTTCGTTGTATATTAAGCTAGTTACTATTATATTGTTTGTACTTTCATAAGATAGATAAAACTTGCATCTCGCTTATCTATGGATGTAGCTAACTCATTGTAAGTGAAGCACGTAAAATATGTGTTTTTATTTTGTGGGATGTCTGACTATTCGTCACAACACAAACTAATTAAACAACATAAAATATTAGGAGTATATGAACATTAATTACTAACCTGGGCACGGGCCGGGTTGGCCCGCGTGCCGCCCGGCACGGCCTGCCCTTCGACGGGGCACGACACGGCCGAGTGGTGGCCCAGCACGGCACAGTGGCCCGCCGGCGTGCCGTGGGCCGTGCCACGGACAAGAGCTGGACATTTCGGCACGGCACGGCACGAGCCCACCCCTTGGCCCGCCGTGCCGGCCTGTCCAGGCACACCCAAGCCCGCAATATATATATATATACATATATATATATATATATATACACATATATATATATATACACATATATATATATATACACATATATATATATATATACACACATATATATATATATACACACATATATATATATATATACACACATATATATATATACACACACATATATATATATATATATATATATATATATAGTGTAAACATTTAAAAAAAAAAAAAAATAAAAATAGGAAAACTGCCAGCCCGCAGCCAGCCTGCCAGGCCAGCACGCAGGCCGGCACGGCACGAGCCCGCCAGGCACGAGGGCCGTGCTAGGCCGTGGGCTGGCCTGTGAAAATGGCCGGCACGGCACGCTGTCTTGGGCACGGCGGCACGACCGGCACGGCACGCGCCGGAGCCCGTGGCCCGCCAGGCACGGCCCGCGGCAGCACGGCCCGGCACGATGCCCAGGTTTATTACTTACCCTTATACCCCACAAAACGACTTAAACAAACTTTACCAACCCTTACAAACAACTGAAAAACAAGGTAAAAGCTAGTAATCCCTCTAGCTTTGCAAACACAAATACTATTCATTTCATGCAAAACAAAAAGTTTGAAAACATTAATGAAGTACTAATGATAATACTGGCCGGTAATGTAATTGGTCAATTAATAGAATCATGTACTAATTCAAATCACTGAGAGATTTGCAAATTGAAATGGAACATAGATTGGAGTGTAACTCAAAACACCAGGAGATGCTTCCAATGCCTGAGCAAGCATGTTTTGCACGCAACCGCTGCACAAACTTCTATCCACACTAAGATTCTCTAATTTGATTACTGAATTTCAAAATATTGTAAACCATATCATTATCAAGGGAGTATATATAATATACAAATTATTACACTTTAACTATAACTTTCCTTTATACAATACTCGTAGCTATATGATTTGTATAGTAGTAGTCGTCCAAATTAAAATGAAAATCGTATGTAGTACTTTCTTTATTCATTAAAGTTTTTCGATTCAAATGATGACTATATATTTCACAAAATGTTAAAATATGAACAAATAACAGAAACGAAGGACATATAAATACAAAGAATTGGTTAGAGTTGATATTGGTCTTGGGATATACGCGTAAATTCTTATAAGCTTGTTAGTAATTTGCGTGTGGCAAATTTTCTATATAGTGGACCTTTAATCAAACTATTAGGCCTTTCAGCCGTTTATACATTTGTAAGTGGTCTAAACTCAACTTTTCGTTTACATGACTATTACTCATCTCCATTTTCATTCTTTGTGCTTAATTCTTAACTAATTAAATTACAACAATACGACAACTAATTACAGATGTAGGAAATAACTATGTAATCAACTTACCTACAACATACCGATTACTAGGTAGGCCAGAGTCGGCGAAAAACTATTAATCTTTAATCACTTCATAAGTAGAGGTGGACCAATTACATGTACATAGGTGGATAAGTGAGCTATATTAAAATTAACTAATTAACTCGTCATATTATCAGACAAAATTTGAGCAGTAGAGTTAACTGTTGATAATCAAGGGGAAAGGCGTCAAACTCTCGAGTTAAGAAAACGATACTCCCATACTTTGTTAAAAAATCATAAAGTAAACCTCACCATTGACCTTAATAAACATACAATACTATCATATCATATATTATAAAGTTAATTAAATATTAATTATGTTGTTTGTTTGGTACGTTGTTGTTACATCATACTCCGTCCATTAACGTATCCTATGACCAACTTGTAGTTTTTTATCTGTACTTTAAAAAAAAAAAAAAAAAAAAAAAAATCTTAAATAACATGCTTTATAATTCATATATAAATGCCAATAATATGGACAAAGTTTGTTTGTAGTTCTAAAAAAACAAAAGTAAATACTTAATTACAAGCTTCCAATACTAAGAAGCATCCACGGTTCTACTCCCCCATGCCATTCCCACGTACACACTTCTTTGGCATGCATGTCTTTTTCACATTTTAATTTTCAAATGAATATTGTATACAATCATAGCTTATTTGTAAGTTGTATTTTAATTGTATACATTAATATTTGTTTTTTTTAACCTAATACAAGATTTTGATAATAAGAATTAGGGCTTGATTCATCAACAATACTTGAGTTAATAATATGGTTAGCTTTGGAGTTTGGATAGATGTATATGACATATGAAGTATACTAAAAGTTTTAATTACATTACATATGTACTAATAGGAATATGTGGAAAAGTACAAGGTTCTTATTTTGGCGATGGAGATGGAAATACAAGCTAATGTTTATGACATTTTTTTTTCAAAAGCAAGGTTTGATGAGGAAATTTCCACTCCCAATGAACCGACTCCTAATATAATGAGATTTGATCCCATAACCTTTGATTCATGAGTTTAAATTATCATCACTCATCAAAATTTCAATTGAAAATTAGTTTTTTGTATGCCTCAAAATCAAGGTAACATATATTATACAACAAAGTAGTATTAATTGTGACAAACCATCTCGAGTATTAAATTATAAAAAAAAAATCTCACTTGTAGCTATTGTGCAACAAGTAATATACTTCACATTATGAATAACTCAAGTGCAAATTTGTTTCCTTCAACTATATTATTGTCCATATATATGAGCGTCCAAAGAAAGGTTCAAATTTTCAAATTAATGTTTCTAGTCAATCACAAATCATCAAACAATCAATAATTTTATAAATAGTGGGAGTAATGTCCGATTAAGACACAAATTAATAAAAGTTTAATTAAATAGATTAAAAATTATCAACTTAGGCGATCATGACTTGATGAAACATTTATGGTCCTCCACCACTATAATAATTCATCATGATCAAGTTTTATTAGACATGATTGTCATTTTCCTAGCTAATTGTGTAAGTAATTAAGCTAATTAACAAGATACTTATCACATCCACTTAATTAGTAAATTCTTTGAACAAACACCACACGTGGCCTTGTTCATGTTAAATTCCAAGGTACATTTCCTTCACCTACCAAAATGTCATTTCCTAATCATCTTTTTCCATGTTAATCACTTAATTAGCATCTTCTTACCTATTTCACTAAATTATATGCTTCATTTCATATTTATTAAAACTTAAATAATTAACAAATTTAAAATAAAAAAAAAAAAGAAAAAGAAAAAGAAAAAGAAAGTACCTCCCTCTTTCTTTTTCTCTCTCCTCTATACATACCCTTCATTTCCCTCTCTTTTTTTCCTACACTTATCTTTAACTTACTCTTACATTATCTCCTCCAAAGAAAAAAAAAATGGCAACATTAAATGGAAGAATGCTCAAAGATTTCTTACAAGATAGTAATAGTAATAGTAATAATAATAGTAATTGTTTCGGATGAAAACAATCGAATCTCGGAAGATCCTTTTATCTTGAGGGAACTTGGTCTCGGTCCGAACGACGCAGGAGCCGAGGGTTTCCTGCACAACAAATACACGTAAACTAGCCTCGGGGGGGACGCCGAGGAAGGCCCCTCCGATGCTTAAGTCAGTATATTAGAGAGAGAAAGCTGTGCAAGAGTTTAGTTGCTTGAGGCTTTATTGTCTTACCAAGAATTGACCAAATTGTTGGCTTTTATACCTTGGCTAATGAAGGAGGCGGATTGGGCCCGGAAGTCAGTTGGGCTGGGCCAAGCTGATTGGGCCGTTGACTGACCTTGACATGGCTTTGAGGATGTTGATTTTTGACTTTAGCACATTTGGAGAGTTGAACCTTAACCTTGGGCTTTTAATTGGATCATTCAGTGACCAGGCCCAATTGGACTAAATTGGACCCAAACAACTTGCCCCCCAGACCCGATTTGGAAGGATGACGGGTCGGGTTTGATTTAATCAGAAAAGGAGGGAAGTGAATGATTTGTTAATCCAAAAATGTGAATTTAAACCATAATTAACCCATGATTAATGAGATAACAACAGTTAATGTGGATAATTGCGGAAGTTGGACGGGTAGTGGGCGATTTAACTGCAAGGTCGTGTGTTTAACGGTTACTTAGTGGGGTGCTTGAGAGAAATTGAAACGCAGACTCCTTGAATTCCCATTTCTGGAGATATAAATAGAGGCGCGTCTTCTCTCCCCACTCATTCATCAACACAAACCCAGAATTCTCAAGAACGCTCAAGAGCCCGCATCAAAACTTCGCAAATTCCCCGAGCATTAAGCTTAGAAGCTGAGACTTGTCACTACCAATTCGTAAATCGGCGGCTTTTGCTTCAGATCAAGGTAAATTCCTTTGATTTTATTTCATCTTTCTTCGACTTTGCACTCTTTCCCCTTTTTCGACTTTTTCCTTCGAAATTCGTCAATGGTGAGGGGAGTTAGAGGTGGAGCCCGTGCTCCAAGAAGAGCAAGGCTAATCCCCGATCCCAGGGACAGGATTGGGACCTGGAATGGACGAAGGACAGAGTCTGACCCTGCTGAAGGGGTTAGGGCGACTCCCATTTCTTCGGCTCCTCCTCAGAGAACGGATGAGCCGAGTGCTTCTGGACGGGACGATGAAATTCCCGCTGTCCTTTGGGATATCCTCCCTGGGTTTTCAGAGTGGGAGAATGCCGAAGTCGCTTCGGCCATGATAAAGAACCGCCCCTACTCATGGTGGGTAGAGAACGCCGATCAATATCGATTTGCCGAGCAAATTGAGTTGCACTACGGCATTTTTGAAGCTGATGGATATTGGTGCCGAATGCCCTCAGCATCCGATAGAATCCATCGTCCACCCCCGGGGTATGTGGGGGTGTACACGAGACAGCTTCAGTATGGGCTGAGGTTCCCTTTGGACGCATTCGTCCGAGACTTGCTGATCCATTACAACATTTCCCTGTGCCAGCTGACCCCCACCAGCATCCGAAGGGTAATGACGTACTTATGGGTCTGCAAATTCTTCAGGTACGTGCCGAACCTGCATTGCTTCAAAAGGCTCCATCGGCTAGTGCCAAACATTCAAAGTGGGCACGGATGCCATGGCTCTGGGTGGTATCGGATTGAGTCTCGGCCCCCGTTCCTAACCATGTGGCCGAACGACTCTTCAGACAAGGACTGGAGAGGTCAATGGATTTGGGTTAGGGCACCCACGGAGCCGAGCCACCCTTACGTTTTCAGCGCTCCCCGGTATCTTGCCGAGCCGGATCCTGATATGGGAAGTTTAGGTCCTCCCGAAGATAGCGGGCCAGACCCGAACCTTAATCAGCAGAACATCTTCGGCAAGCTGCCGAACCGGGGAGGCAGCGGCCGAATGCAGCATATCCCGGAGACTTGGCTCCCCGATACGCACTATGTTTTCCAAGAGAATATGCTGGCAGCTGTCGGCCTCAGCCGAAAGTTTAGGGATGGTAATCTTCTTCGGCTGGGGCCGAGGCCTTTTAATTATCTCTTTTCTTCTTTCATTTTGCTTTCTTGTGATGTGCCGAACTAACTGAATTGACTTCTCCCCTTTTCTTTTTCAGAACGGGACGAGACCAACGTCGGCATTGATTACGCTCGCCTTGGCGTCAACCGAGAACGAGTCGTAACTGATCGGGCTCCCCCTATCACTGAACCAAGGCGCCGAGAGGTTCACCTAGACTCTTCCCACTTCCAAATTGAGGCTGTTGCTCTGTATCAGAGGCAGAAGCCTTGGTGGAAGAAGAGGGATCCCTTGTTTCAGCTGCTGGAAGAAGAAGCTGAAGCTGCCCGTACAGCCGAAGAGGTTGCACGGGTTATTGAAGCTTGTGAAGGTGGAGAAGGGTCCTCCAGAGTTGCTGAAGAAGCTGCGGCTAGGGCAGCTGAAGAAGACGAGGCTTTGCTGAAGACCTCGGTGAGCCTTTAGACTTAACTTTGTCTTTCTTCTTCTTTTTTTTTTTTACTCACACTCTTCTTCCCCCCTGTCTGTTACAGTCTGAAGAGAGTAACAGACACAGAGAAGGCAAAGCTCCTGTTCGTCCCGAAGATCAAATACAAGAGTCTTCAGACTCAGATATGGACGAGCAGCCGCTTCAGAAGAGGCGCCGAAGAATGGCCATCATCGGCCCGCATGACTTTCAGCGGAGGCCGATGACCATCGGCGTTGAAATAAGGGAACCCGAGGAAGGCAATGGATCGCCGAGGGTTCCCCGGCCACCGCCTCAATCACCCCCAAGGGCCTCTCCGCCACCCCCCGAGATGGAGGTGGATCAGAGAACTCCCAAACCTAAGGGAGAGGTTCTGGAAGAAGCTCGAGAGAGTGCCGCCGAGGACAAGGATGGAGACGCCGTGATGCCCAGTGCTGAGGGTTTCACGGCGGACATTGCCAGAGAGGTTGGGGCCTTCGTCCTCACACCTGAAGAAGAAGAGGTCACAATAATTGACTCTTCTGAGAAGGAGGAGGACGTTGAGCCACCCAAAGCTAAAGAGGCTCCATCGTCATCCTTCCCTTCCTTCCAGACGCTGCAGTCTGGAGAAATGGGTTTCTCGGCCCCCCGAATTCCAGTCCCAGACCACATCTGGGACCTCATATGGGGTCAGAACCGAGAAGGTGCTGCAGCCTACTTCGGCGATTTTGCTGGCCTGTCCGAAGTAGATAGGGCAAGGATTTGGTCGCTGAAGGCCACTGCTGGGATGGGCGAATCCAGCAGATCAGTTCCTGACCCTGCCAGGTCCAACCAACTGCTGATGATGCAGGTAATTCTCCTTGCCTTGATTTCTTTCTGAACTCAACCTTTCAGCTATTATTTTTTACTTTTTTAACTTGTGCCCCTGTTTTCAGTTCGTGCACAATCAGACTCTCACTGTAGAGCTGATTGATACCCTACAAGATAGGGTAGACGCTGCTGTGCACGAAAGGAAGGTGGCTGAAGAGGAAGTTAAGCTTGCTAAGCTGAAGCAAGCAGCAGCTGAAGAGAAGCAGCAGGAGGTTGAGGAGTACGGTAAAAAAGCTGCCGAAGCTCTGAAAACCTTCTGTGATGCTATGGAGATGGAGGTTTTTCCCCCACTGATGGAAGGGGAAAAATTCCTCCAGGAGCATATGGGAGTGGACGTCTCCAAATTCAAGGCTGCTATTGAGAGCCGAATTCAAGAAGGAACTGCTGCACAAGCTGAAGTGCAGCAGCGTCTAGAGGCTCTTGAAGCCAGCCGAATGGCTGCTGAAGAGTTGCTCTTGGCCAAAGACGTCCAACTCTCAGAGGCTGCTGCTGCTGCTGAAGCTCAAAGAGCTAAATTCCAAGAGGCTGAGGATCAACTGCTGATCCAGAAAGTTGAAGTGGCCCAAGCTCAGACAAAGGCTTTCCAAATTCAGCAAGAGCTGAATGAGCTGAAGGGGTCCTCCTCCAAAGTCGCTGAACAGCTGAAGAAATCCAAGGAAGACTTGGAGGAGACCCAGAAGAAGCTGGCTGATGCTGAGGCTTTACTCAAAGTCCGTGTTTACACCCAAGAGGAATATGAGATGGGTTTCAGAAACGGATTCCGAGTATGCCGAAGACTCTGCCTTCATGCTGAGCCGAAGCTTGACTGGTCTAAATGTGCTGAATGGGTCCAAGATCCCGAAGACCCTCACATGAAGTATGCAACTCCAGCTGAAGCTGAAATTCTTAAGGCTGAGGAAGCCGAAGAGGAAGCTGAGAGACTGGAGTTGGAAGCTGAGCAGAGGGAAAGGGAGGCTCGGCAAAGTGCAAAGCCCGCCTCTTCTGCTGCTGGGGCTGAGGCCACCAGGGGACTCAACGCTGATCAGTCTGATCCTCCGGCTGAAGCATAGGAACTCGGGCAGTCGTCTTCAGAATCTTGCGGTTCATCATGTGCTTAACTTTAGACTTGCCGCTTTCTGAGTTTTTGCCTTTTGTTTTTTTTTTTTGCTTCAGCTTGCCTTATCGTACAATAGCTTATTATATTTTTATTTTGCCTGTACGTATTTCGGCAGCTGTTACTTTCCGCTTGTGGGCGGCTGCCGACTATTTTTGTAATTCAACATTTTTATTTCAAAGAAGTTCACTTTCTCAGCTTTCTCGTGTATTATTTTTTTTCTTCGCTTTACCAGTCTTCGCACTTTACTGCTTTCTTTGAATGATCTTTCAAATATTTGCTAAGTGCAGAACTTCGGCTAGCGAGAATCATTTCTGCTGAGACTTCTTTTTGCCGTTTGTACTCGGATGTTTTCAACTTGTGAAAAAACTGACATAAGTATCAAACTTCGGCTGAGCTGAAGGGTATTAGATCAGTTGTGCCATTTCTCTATTTCCCTCTGCCCCCCCAGAAATCTGAAGATGAGGTCTTCTGAATTCTGGAATGGCTGATAATTTTTCTCGGCTAAGCCGAGGATCTTTGAACACTTTGCTTTATTTTCTACATCTGTTTTTAAAGTACTGATTTCCCACCTGA